ATATGTATATGTATATGTATATGTATATGTATATGTATATGTATATGTATATGTATATGTATATGTATATGTATATGTATATGTATAGTGAAAGTTGGTTGTTACAAAAGAAGATAAATAATTTAATTACTTCAATGTTTACTAATAATTACATTGATAAAAAAAGAAAATTTGAGAAAAAAGAAAATTAGGATTCAGATACTTAGAAAAAACTCATGGTTGATGGTTCATTCTTTAATATACCTACAAAATTGCTATGGTGTCTCTTTCTTCTAACAACTAACCTTCTCATTTTCCCCATTCAATAACGATCAACTCCCCTCCCTCTAAACAACAAACAACCAAAGTCATGAAATTCAATGATTTTATCTCCAAATATAAACATGATATACAAAAGTAACTAATAATATATAATAACATCAAATGTCATTTCTTCTCTTGCAAAGGTCTTTGGCTTCGACTGTAATTTGGGTTCATTTAGATTTTCCAAATGCACCTGAGAAATCATATACATTAATATATGAGGACAAAATAATCATAAATAATGATAGCTACATTCCATTATTAGGATAACTCTATAATCGTAATAAAATGCTCGATTTATCATAATTCTCATATGTTTTATCTTCCAAATTTAGTTCTACCTCTCTTTATCGTTGCATCCGGCTACAACACCGACTCCGTCACCAAATGAGAATCGTAAAAAATGAATTTTTGATTTTATATTTACTGTTTTTGTGTTTTTACTTCTTAATTTAGGTTTTCGATTTGTATTCAGCTTCTCTCTTATTTTCACCTTATGTTATTTTCAAGAACATCAATAAATGTGTTCTATAATCACCAGCAATAAACTTGTGAATTAACCAACAAAGAAAACCCTACCAAACATCGAAATTGAAACCCAGAAAATCCTCGTAATTTTGAAAAAGAGGATAACAAAATGATAACCGTAAGGACCAAATCCATAGGTTTTTTGAGTTTAGGGATGTTAAGTAGAACTGTTCATGGCCGGGACGACTCGTTAGACCTGACCCGCTAAAAATACGGGTTTTGACAACCATTATCGAGAAAATGAACGGGCATGGGTTTGTTTGTTAAAATTAACGGGCGGACATGGACAATGTAAAAATAAATATGGACACGTCCGCCCGACCGATTTATGTTTTATAATTAATATTTTTTAAATATTAATTAAAATTATACTAGTATATTTTAAAATTAAATTATTAAAATTATAGGATGAGAGTTAGGACTCTTTGGTTTTTCTTGAGAACCCAAAAATAATCTACATTATCTTTGTTAGCCTTCTTATGTCAAAAATCTTAATCGATCAACAATGGATAAAGTTAGTAGTTGCTTAAAGTTTTAATTGCAACGGTGTTTTCATTTACTTTTTGTTTCCATATTTGTTAATTAAAAGTTATACTTTTTAGGCTCATTAACTCGTGGACAAGACCGGCCCATTTATAGGATGAACATTAACAAGTTGTCAAACCCCAAAAAAAAAACTTTGGTTTACAATATTATGTCTTTTGGAAAAAAAAAAGTTAGGCCCGAACTGAATCCACAAATAATGACATCTAATATGAGAAGTTGTGGGTCTAGCCTAGAGATGGCCAAAAACCGGTCCCGGGCCGGTCTCAATCGGTCCTCACCATTCTCATAACCGGCCATAACCGGTCCCGG